GGAGGCGCCAAGAGCAAGGTGCGGCTGCCCTCCCTCCCTTCCACTATATATAGGGGCTAGGGGGGCGCATGCCCCCTTGGAGATCCCATCTAAAAGGCGGGGCGGCGGCCCCTGGGGGCAACGGCCCCCTTAGGGTTTCCAATGAGGGGGGCACATGCCCCCTCGGGGGGCAACGGCCCCCTAGGGTTTCCAACCCTAGGTGCCTTGGGCCCTTGGGTGGGGCGCACCAGCCCATCAGGGGCTGGTTCCCATGCCACTTCAGCCCATGGGCCCTCCGGGATAGGTGGGCCCATCCGGTGGACCCCCGAGACCCTTCCGGTGGTCCCGGTACAATACCGGTAACCCCCAAAACCTTCCCGTTGGCCGGAACTAGACTTCCTATATATAAACCTTTACCTCCGGACCATTCCGGAACTCCTCGTGACGTCCGGGATCTCATTCGGGACTCCAAACAACTTTCGGGTTACTGCATACTAATATCTCTACAACCCTAGCGTCATTGAACCTTAAGTGTGTAGACCCTACGGGTTCGGGAGACATGCAGACATGACCGAGACGCCTCTCCGGTCAATAACCAATAGCGGGATCTCGATACCCATGTTGGCTCCCACATGCTCCTCGATGATCTCATCGGATGAACCACGATGTCGAGGACTTAATCAATCCCGTATACAATTCCCTTTGTCAATCGGTACGTTATTTGCCCGAGACTCGATCATCGGTATCCCAATACCTTGTTCAATCTCGTTACCGGCAAGTCACTTTACTCATACCGTAATGCATGATCCCGTGACCAACCCCTTGGTCACATTGAGCTCATTATGATGATGCATTACCGAGTGGGCACAGAGATACCTCTCCGTCATACGGAGTGACAAATCCCAGTCTCGATCCGTGCCAACCCAACAGACACTTTCAGAGATACCTGTAATGTACCTTTATAGTCACCCAGTTACGTTGTGACGTTTGGCACACCCAAGGCACTCCTACGGTATCCGGGAGTTGCACAATCTCATGGTCTAAGGAAATGATACTTGACATTCAGAAAAGCTACAGCAAACGAACTACACGATCTTTGAGCTAAGCTTAGGATTGGGTCTTGTCCATCACATCATTCTCCTAATGATGTGATCCCGTTATCAATGACATCTAATGTCCATAGTCAGGAAACCATGACTATCCTTTGATCAACGAGCTAGTCAACTAGAGGCTCACTAGGGACGTGTTGTGGTCTATGTATTCATACATGTATTACGATTTTCGGATAATACAATTATAGCATGAATAATAGACAATTATCATGAACAAAGAAATATAATAATAACCATTTTATTATTGCCTCTATGGCATATTTCCAACATAATGATCGTTAAGTTTTATTGCTATTCATTTCTTAATGGCATATACATATTCCTTTGACTATCAGACATCACAACGTAACTGGGTGATTATAAAGATGCTCTATAGGTATGTCCGAAGGTGCTTGTTGGGTTGGAATATATCAAGATTAGGATTTGCCACTCCGAGTATCGGAGAGGTATCTATGGGCCCTCTCTGTAATGCACATCATAATAAGCCTTGCAAGCAATGTGACTAATGAGTTAGTTGCGGGATGATGTATTAAGGAACGAGTAAAGAGACTTGCCGGTAACAAGACTGAACTAGGTATGAACATACCAACGATCGAATCTCGGGCAAGTAACATACCGATGACAAAGGTAATAACGTATGTTGTCATTGCAGTACGACCGATAAAGATCTTCGTAGAATATGTGGGAACCAATATGAGCATCCAGGTTTCGTTGTTGGTTATTGACCGGAGAGGTGTCTCGGTCATGTCTACATAGTTCTCAAACCCGTAGGGTCTGCATGCTTAACATTCGATGACGATTTTGTATTATATGAGTTATGTGATTTGGTGATCGAATGTTGTTTGGAGTCCCGAATGAGATCACGGACATGACGAGGAGTCTCAAAATGGTCGAGAGGTAAAGATTCATATATAGGACGATAGTATTTGGACACGGGAAGTGTTCCGGGGGTACCGTGTACGTATCGGGTCACCGGAAGGGGTTCCGGGCTACCCCCGACAAACTATATGGGCCTATTGGGCCAAGGGGGGAAACACAGTAGCCAGCATGGGCTGCTGCGCCCCCCTTGCTGGCTGAATAGGAAGGGGAAAGGAAAAGGGGAAGAGGGAAGGAAAGGGAGGCAATTCGGCCTCCCCCTTACTTCCCTCCTCTCTCCCCTTTCCTTCCCTCTCCGGAAAAGATGGTAAGGGGGAGCCGAATTGGACAAGGCCCCCAAGTAGGATTCCTCCTACTTGGGGTGCCCCATGGCTGTCACCCTCCCCCTCCCACCTATATATATGTGGGGAGGGGGCGCCTAGAACACACAACAAACATTGTTAGCCGTGTGTGGCGCCCCTCTCCACAGTTTACACCTCCGGTCATATTGTCGTAGTCCTTAGGCGAAGCCCTGCGCAGATCACTTCACCATCACCGTCACCACGCCGTCGTGCTGACGAAACTCTCCCTCGGCACTTTGCTAGATCAAGAGTTTGAGGGATATCATCAAGTTGAACGTGTGCAAAACTCGGAGGTGACTACATCAACCGCGTTGTCAAACGCTTCCGCTTTCGGTCTACGAGAGTACGTGGACACACTCTCCCCCTCCCGTTGCTATGCATCTCCTAGATAGATCTTGTGTGAGCGTAGGATTTTTTTAAAATTGCATGCTACGTTCCCCAACAATTCTATCACAATATAGTGGCCTAATTATGTAAAGAAATGCAATGATGTAATGTTCTTGGCTAAAACTTCAATTGAATATATACTTAGTGCTACAAATTCAAGAATTAAGTGTCCAGGTATGTCCTCATTGAAGTGCTGCTGGATATTATGCTTATTTGTATTTACGGGCATTAACAGGATTACTAAGATTGTTCCATTATTTCCCTTGTAGAAGACTGGATAGTGTCTACAACCATTACACATCAATGCGGCCCAAAAAGTAGTCAATTCGAGGAGGATTTCACTCGTTCTTGAGAAGCACACAGTTCAGAAATCAATGTTTCTCCAGGATGTTAGGAATTGCTCATCGCAGAAGGAAATATATGAGGAGAATCACTTTTTCTATCACATCTAGCATTTTTCTATTTTGACAGAATCTATATTGTTGGGTACAACCATGGGTACAACTTGCAGAGGTAAAATCCCAAGCACCCCTCATGCAAAGAGAAGCGGAATCTCCTTTTTTGCTGTAGTGTATGCCTTCTCTACTTATTTATATTGCAATAATAATATCCCAATAAGTATTTGGAATAAGAGCAAATAGTTTTATTATTATCCAGAATTTTCATTATTGATGTTTGTTTATTGGACCATGTGTATGTATTCAGTCATTTGCAAATACAAATGTGATGTCAACTCAGCCACAACTATTATTCATGTTAGCTTTGGAACTTCAAGTTTTGCACTCAATTTCGGCTCTTTGTGACTATTCAGATATTCTTCATGATAAGGACAAATTCAAGCGATTGATTAATAATTTTATATACATGATAAAAAATTCATCGGTTTTTAATACATCGTCAACAGCTTTTCTATACACATTAAACAAATTTCAAAAGCTTGATCAACATTTTTCAAATACTTGTTCCAAAAAAATGCTTCATTAACATTTTTTAAATACAGGATAAAAAATTTACACACATTTTTTTATAAATTATTCATATACATGATAAACATTTTCTCTATACACATTCAACATTTTTAAATACTTGGTCAAGAATTTTTTCAAATATTTTTATAGAGTGTTTTTTGTACAAAAAATAAAGCAAAAAACAAAACAAAAAACGAAAAAAAAAACCCCTAGAAAAAGGAGGTTGTTTCATCCCGCACTCTTGGGGTGGCCAACTCATCAGTCTACCCCTCTCGCCGAAAGTGAGACATATTCGCGCCCGAGTCGGGGATGGATTTGGAATTTGGGCAAAAAAAGGATTAATAGCCTAGCGCATGACAATGATGATGGACTTGCAACTAGGACGAAAAAAAGGCCTGACCCAGTTGCATTTCGTTGGTTGACTTGCAACTGTGTGAACAAAAGATTAAGAGACCAATTGAGAGTAGTTATCTTGCAATCTGGAATAAAAAATGGGTGGGCCCATTTTGGAGCCAATGATTAACTTACAATTGAGACAAAAAAAGTCAGCCTCTAGTTGCTTGTCAATGGTGGATTTGTAACTGAGACAAAAAAGTCTGACCTAGTTGTAAATTGAGGGTGGACTTGTAACTAATGAATTCTACATCGTATACCTTGTCAATGCTTGTCGACGAGCAGTTCAATTAGCAGATGAGTTTAATGCCAATCGCCTGCATATTGAGACAGATAGCAAAAAGATAGCTAGCAAGCTTCAAAACAGGGAGAAGGACCTGTCCGTGCTGGGACCATTAGTAGAAGAGGTGAAAATGATGTTGCAGGCGCGGGAGCAGTGGAAGATTACCTGGGTTCGCCGCTCGGCGAATGGTGCAGCACACGCGCTAGCTAGAGAAGGGGTTTCTAATGACTTATGTAAGGTCTGGTTACACCAACCGCCTGATTGTATCTTGCACATTCTATCAGCAGAGATTCCTGACTTTTAGGAATAAATAGGAACGGTGTGAATTTCAAAAAAAAGAAGAACTCATAGCCTTTATAAAACAGGTGCTCCATGTACTGACACGATGCAGACACGTACAATGGAAACGGTCACTGGCTTTTCACGAAAAATAGCCCGATCAAAAACAGTTTTTGCATGAATCCTACAGCCCCGATTGTACAGTAAACAATTTAGATGTGACATAACTAAAAATTATATAGATATAAATTATCAAAATTACATTTATTAATAATATGTTAACGTCCATGGCGTATCAAAGTGTTCTCCACCGTCCATTATGAACCCAGAAAATCACATGGAAAGCAGCAAACATGCTGGTTGATCCGTCTATGTAGACTAATTACAGCCTTTCGCCGCGGATCCTCCTGGCCAAATACACATCTTTGGACATAATGGTCACACGCTCGGCACACAGATTAGTGTCTTCAAACAGTCCCACCAAGTATGCTTCGGCTGCCTCCTGCAAAGCAAGCACTGCATGGCTCTGGAAACGTAGATCACTCTGTAGATGTGGCAAAGAAACCAAAGAAAATAGATGTGAGCCCAAATATTTCGTTTATTATCTTGAATACACTGCATTAGAACTTTTCTCTATGCACCCCTAATCAATCTCTAATGGATCTTTTTTGAAGGGATTGAGTTGGATTTGTTCGTATCTGAAATAAACACAGTCAGATACATATGATCTAGAGGAGTACCTTGCAAAATTGGGCAATCTCCCTGACAAGTCTCTGGAACGGTAGCTTCCTTATAAGTAGCTCTGTGCCCTTCTGATATTTGCGAATTTCACTATAGGAGCACAAGAGTATGAAACACAGGCACCTCATAATAATCCAAGCAATGGAAATTATATTGTGCTACACATACCGAAGAGCAACAGTTCCAGGGCGATATCGGCGTGGCTTCTTCACTCCTCCAGTGGCGGGAGCAGTCTTACGAGCGGCAGCCTGGCATCACAAAACGGAAAACCAGTAGTTAAGTTGCTGTCAAGCAAACAATTTTTAACACTAAGTTGCTAAGGTGCATGGTTGGAGCCAAAGGTGCCATATTACATAGAAAGCCCTAAGGTGCTTCGTTGGAGCCTTTCCGCCGGTGGACTTTGGGGCTGTACACTTAGTGCGAGCCATCCTGCAAACAAAATAGTACACCATGCACAAAAGTTGTGTTAACAAACTTAATTCCAAGGCTAGATTTAAGACATCTGCAACAAAAGCAATGATTCGACACTTTGGCTATTGTGATTTGACTGTGCTCTCGAAAGCCATATATTAGACACTTTCAGTACCAATAGATCGTAGAATGTCTAACTACGTGCATGTGATACATACATGTCTGAAAAATTCGATTGCAGTTCCTTGCCGAAAGAATTCTAGCTTCTGAGAATCGGTATAGATCCAAGTGATCACATAATACCCAGCTAGTTCACACATTTTATGATTATCAACGATTGCTAGCAAGGAAAAACAAGGTACTGTAGCATGTTCTAAACTATTTTATATGTTGACGAGTGATGACCAACACAAGAAACCAAATCAGAAATACCGCCGGAAGCATCTCAAGAAATACTAAGGCTACGGTACAACCATAGGAATTACTGTACAACACTTGAAACGGCTTACCTCTCGCAGTTGCTATCTTGCACTTGCACACCCTTGGAAGTACTCTTGCTGTCGGGCTGACTAGTTGATCGAGGGCTGATCACTTGAAACGGCTTACCTCTCGCAGTTGCTATCTTGCACTTGCACACCCTTGGAAGTACTCTTGCTGTCGGGCTGACTAGTTGATCGAGGGCTGATCGTGATCGGATGCACGTACAAATATAGCGAGAGGGGGCAGGGTATTTTATAGGCGGGCCTAACACGGGCACGTACGTACGAACCGACTTAGGTCAGATCCTTAATCTGCGCTAGATTGATTGGCGCACTGGCGTTGCAGTTGAAACTGATCGTACGGCTCGGATCGATGGTGACATGGATTGATGCGGGCATATTGCGCGCTGCTATTGGCCGATCTCATGAGGTCACGGATCGTGGTTTTCCTAAATCCTAGTAATGGTTGAGAAACTTTCAGAATAATGCGTAATTAAACATGGTTGCATCTTGAGAGTTTATCAAGCGATGCCTCTCAGTCGGCAACCTCGCCATGTTTGCTTCTTCCCAGTGTTGTGCACGGCCGCGTGGGATGCTCGCCTGAGGCCTGAACAAGCTCGTAAATGGAACGAGCGCGTGCGTCGGGAGCTTGCACGCAGAGGCTCTGAGCGGCCGGCACAGCATTTCGGTTGGCGGCAGGCATGCAAGGTCTGCCGGAGCAGCGGACAACGTTGCTTAATTGCCTAGGATAGATGACGCGGGTGCTCGGACGTCCGGCCGGCGATGGAGGCGCAGCAGCGACACCCGGCCGGCCGGGTCTTACGACCAGGTGCATCGTCGGAAGTCGGAAGTGTTGGACGCGCCCTGGTGTTGTGCGTGTGGCATGGCTTGAAGGCGTGCAGATCTTCACGGTGCTGGGGGGCTGGGTGTGGAACGCATGTCAGTTGCGACACGGAGAATATGGCACGGTCATTGTTCCACACACGAACGGTGGTGCTCTGCTTTGGCATCGTGACTTCACAATTAGTTCGCGCCTTGTTGTCTTTTCCTTTGGTTCATGTGTTCTCTCTATGACGGCACCACATACCTCGAAGAAGAACTCGTCCTCGGGTCGCGAGCAAAGCTATTGTGGGTACACGCTTCAAAAACATTGGCCTCCGTCAAGCGGACTGTTGAATATCATGATTATTTAGGTAGTATAGGATAGCATACTAGTATTTGTTCTATCTTATCTTATATTCCAAGGTCATGTACTCACTATATATACGCCTACGAGGCTCAAACAATATACATTGATTCCATCAATTTCTTTCTATCCCTTCTGACACGGATAATAATGCATCGCGTCATCTATGGTTTTTTGAACTCATTCCGTAATAAACTTGGACGTGCTTAATTAATTACCTACCGCCCTTGACGAGGCCCTTGCCGGCGGTCTCCATCAGACCGGAGACCCTGACGCTCCCTTCCGGCGCAAGGCCGAGGCGCTCCATGGCCTTCACCATGGCGCGGGCCACGGCTGAGCCGGAACCGTTGGCGCTCGTCCACCACGCCCCGGCGTCTGGGTCGAGGGGCTGGCACCGCGGCGTCCTACGCCACGTCCCTGGCGTAGATCACCTTCAAACAACGGAACACAAAGGCTCGAGCATGCAAGTAACTCTGCGGAGAACAGGTTTTGGACTCTGGACAGCCGGCCTCGATCGCGTAGGCCGCGTCGAAGGGGTCGTCAGGGAATGGCATGTCCATCAAGTCCCCTTACGATTCGCCCAAAGAAACGAGCCAGAAACGCTGTTTATCAAGACATTTCTCTTGCTGTACTTCGACAGTTAGGGAGCGTTCGGAATCCCTCCACTCCCGAGTCAGCTCGCGGAGCCGGCGGAGCTGCAGGCTGAAAAGGTGGAGCTGGGATATACGCGCTCCGCAGATCCGCGGAGCTGGCGGAAGGCCGAACGGGCCTTTAATTGATTCATTCACTGGCAAAGATCTCTGTGTCGCAGTTCGTACCTTGACAAAGTTGCATCGTTTGCTCAGGCCAGCAGCCAGCTGAACTGATGAGCCCCTGCAAATGCCACGCATGGAGATTTTATGTTTTTTCATAAATGCATACCCCAAGCAGTTCATGTTTGATTTGAACACGGGAAAACTGATGTCCACGTGATCTGGTACTCGTCGTTCAACCCTGTCACCCTAAATGCCCTCACAATCCTGCATGATCCATGTCTGAATGAATACGCAGTGAACAAGTAATTCCACTTGTACATGTGCCCATGATATTTGTCCATGCCACTCCACATGTTCAGTTTTGCAACTTAAGCAAGCATAAGTACGATAACAGATCGACAGGCCCAAAAGGCGAGTACTGCACCATCCACATAACAGCTGTTTGGTGCAGCTAATGCACAAAAGATGCTTACAAATTAGAGCATTCGTGGCATACAACATACACAGGCTAAACTTTGTCTTGAGCTCCTTGAAGCACCAAAGCGGGAAACTTGCAGTAGTATGGCACGTAGAATGCACGCCGATACAGTTCAGAGAACATCCGAATCTTCAGAATCTCTGAGCCTTTTCCAGTACTCATGCTAAATGAGATGATCCTATGAGCAATTCTGTCAACAAGGATAACTAGCTCTCTCTCCAAGTCAAAGGCCTGGATGTCGTAATCGAAGTACCATAGTCCTTCATGATTAGTCCGGAGCAACAAATCCCTCCCAAAGACATTGTTCATACTTAGACGATGCTTCACCACCCACTTGTCAGTGCCTTCCAAACTCCAAATCCGCATCATACAACCATGCAATTCCTGTTGTGAATAGCATGAGACCCCTGATGACTGGCACATACAACCATCACAACAATCAAATATCTCTGGCCCATTTGGAAATCCTGGCAGCTGAATGATCCTCTGACTGAGCCACTGCGTAGATGGACCGCACTACTGGAATAAGGTACGTTGCCGACGGCCCAGGGCCGTCGGCATAGGGCTATGCCGATGGTGTACGTCCGCGTATCCCAAGGCGGCCGTCGGCATATAAAAACCGTCGGCATAGCTAGCTAAGCCGACGGTGTCCGTACAACCGTCGGCATACATCCACCGTCGACAACGTTCTCCACCTGACGGCCGTCAACGACGCTGCCGTTAAAACCGTGCCAATCATACGCCGACACGTGGCAGCACCTGAGAAGCCATGGCACGAAGCTACGCCGACGGTTAGGCCGTCGGCATAGTTTTGGGGCTATGCCGACGGCCTAACCATCGGCGTAGCTCCGTGCCACAACTACCAAGGTGCTGCCACGTGTCAGTTAGGCCGACGGTTAGGCCGTCGGCATAGCCCCAAAACTATGCCGACGGCCTAACCGTCGGCATAGCTCCGCACCAGACTTCCCCGCTATTGCCACGTGCCGGCTGCTGGTAACACAAGGGCACTATGCCGACGGTTATGCCGTCGGCCTAGTTATGCATTATTTTCTTTTTTTCCCTATTTTTGTTGCTTTTCAATTCAAATAACATCATCATCATCATCATCATCATCATCATCATCATCATCATCATCATCATCACAACAGAATAGATAAGATAATCATCACAAGTCCAACATGATAAACATCATCACAGGTCCAACATAAAAGTAGGCATAGTCCTCGAGCATAGGTAAAAAAAAATTGTTGCTCTTGATTCTGCCCTGTAAATTAAAATAGCTACAAGGCCTATGTAGCCACTTACATAACAGGATCATCATTAATTTCAAAATTTATATAACATCAAATCCATCATATAGTCCAAACAAAGTTCAGTCATATCCAACACGAGCACGACAAGTTCACACGGTCACCAAGACACCATATATCAGGTTCACATTATGTGCACCAATCAGCTTTTATTCCATTAACTAATTATATCACATATATGCACTTTAGTTTGTTAGAAACATAACCACCAAGACACCATACATCAGGTTCACAAATGGACAACTAAAAGATGTAAGTATGGGAGATGAGTTGTACAAAATGAAAGCTAAAACATCAAGTTGACAAGGATAGCTGGCTTCTTCGTTCCTTGTGAGTGTCGTCCTTTTGTTTGCTTCCTACAAAAGTTAAACAAGTCTCAATTACAATAGACTATCATAAGCTGCATTTTGTTTGCTTGTTTTCAATTTTCAAATATTCCATATGTGAGTACGGTACTTTTTTGGCAAGTGAATCACATGCTGCTAGAAATGATACCATATCTCAAAATATTTACATGTAAATTATGTTGACTGCTTACACACTAGTCTTTAGAAATAATAGAAGCGCGTGCTTAGCTAGCTTCATACCAAAGATTGGAAACAAGATCACCTAATGCATGCAATCCAAACACGTAACAATCGAAATAACAGTGTGAAAGCATCATATGAGAGACACATGTCAAGAAAAAAGGAATCTGATTTGGAAGATTTTATCTAAAATGCTTTTGACTTTTGACTCCTAGAGTGCAAGCAAATCAGTTTACAGTAATTATGGGTTCTTTTGATAATAACATAAGGGAGCAAATAGTT